AATTTCTTTCTTTTGTTATGAGCTCTTATAATTCTAAAAAAAAAGAATTTAAGTATATTTGTTAGTAAATATATTTATAATTTTATGTTTTTGTTAGGTTTCAAAATATTTACTTAAGAAGATCTATATAAAACGAAATTTTAATTTTATCTAGAGTTTCTTTTTAATTGTGAAATGTTTGTAAGCATTTTTATTGTGATATATTGTATGATTGACTACATTTCTAATCAAGTTTCTTAAGTAAATTTGTATTAGATAGAATAATTCTAAATATTGTGTATGCACGCGCGTGACTTGTAAAACACATTTACACACTATATAACGCGATATTACCGTTTGATACTAATATTGTTTTGAAAGCTTTTCTTGATATGCATATATACTATATCTTGCCAAAACTCAGTGTCAATATACGCTGCTTTCTATGATATTTAGAAACTATTTACTCGAAAAAAAAAAAGACAGAGCGAAACAGTTCGCACAATTCTCTGCTTTTGGTACATTTATGGAAGCTTTCTTATACGGACATTTTTACTAAATCAACATTCCTAAAATATTTATTATGTGCCATAAACGAGAGATTTGCTCATCTATATTTACTAAAAGAAGGTTAAAACGTTTCTCTAAAAATTTCTAAATTGATCCTTTTGTTACCTCGTCTGTGGAAATATAATGCACTTTCTTATTAACAACTTAAAGCTTATAACACAAAGGATCACTGTTCGAAACAATCGCAAATAATGACAACATAAGATTTTGACATAAAATTATTCATGTTTTATAGGCACGCAAATATTATACAAGATGCACTGTTTATGTGCAACGCGCATGGATATAAAAAAAAAATATATATATGTATTAACTCTAGCTAATGAATATTAGCTAGCTTATAGCGTGTTAAAATATTGTTTTTCCATCTTGCATATGTTTAATATGAATCTCAAGAAAATCTCAAAAGACTAATCGAACATAATATTAATATAAGAATAAGACAAAATGTTGTCTCTAATTACAAAATATCTAAAAAGTTAGCTCTAATTTGCTCTTGTAAAATGTATCTAAGATACTTTTGTTATCTGTGCCCTATGCATATGTATTTATTATACAATGAGAATTTACTATGAATGCGTGATTAGAATATACTACACGAATTGTCGATGTTTTCGGTACTGAATCATCTTTTGAAATTTATGGTCTCAATTTTTTACGCACTGTGTTCATCTTGCATTTACACGTCGACAATTTGAAATATTGAATATTTTAATGTTGTGCATTCTACGAGGTGTACGAGGAATTGTGTTTTCGCAATGCGTATGTTGAATTATAGATGAACGTTTGCTTTCGAGTCTTTTTTACTGTTCAGTATTGTTGATTAATTATACAGTGCACTTATATGTTTGTTTAGGAAAGAAAACCAGCGTTACGATTAACTTTGAAGATACGATTTAGCATTTGTGTTTGTTGTTCTCGCTTAGTATTATATAAAGTTTGTTAAAGTTATAGTTATAGTTATAGTTAAGATTAAATTTAACGATACGAGATTATACGCAACAAGGACATTTTGCAGAATAGGAAATTGAGAGATGTAAGAAACACAACTACGATAGATCTTTATTCACACTTTGTAAAAAATTGAAATATAGAAATATTGATTTCGTTGAAACTAATAATATTTACAATTTTCTAGTTTTTATAATAACTTTGGTGTTTACTGATGATTGCTCTTTTTAAATCTTGCCTGCAAATTCGCTTGAATGTTAAAATAAATCACATTTAACTTGATGATATCTACAGTAAAAAGAGATTGTATTCTTCAAGCTGCAATCAAAATTGGTGCGGAATAATAAATATCAGTGTCTTAGAACGATTCTTAATTTAATAGAAAAAAAAAAAAAAGAAAAGAAGAAATTGCTGTAATATAAAGTAGCTCTGAAAATTTTTACACTGCACTATATGGATTACCCGCGAAGAAGGATGATACTTTTTCGAATTAACTGTTGCAAAGTGTCGAAAAGTTGCGTTCAATTTTGTTCATCGTGTAATGACTTGATAGAACGTACTTATATTTCTTATCCATACCTTTGTAAAAACACTCGATAGAGGTAAAAGCAAATATGAATTCTGAATAAATGAAACCTATATGCTGCGCATTTATTTGTAACGACAAACGATAAGAAATACACTAGCTAAACGAGATATGTAATTATTTCTTTTATACTAGAGAGAGATGTCAATAAAATCATGTTGCTTCATAGATGAATTTCGATTTATCATAAGACTATTAAGCCGCTCGTGGTGAAGCAAAGTTAATACAGAGCACATTGATTGAAATATATGTTAATTAAGTCAATTTGCCAAGAAGAATTTATATGCGAAAGAATCATCGTAATTATCAAAATTTGAAACGATAAAATTACCGCGGTTTGAAACGCGGCCGACGTCGATTCGATGGATCGATTGGGGTCGCTGTTTGAAAGCGGGGAAATTTAAATATTAGGAAGGCGTAACGTGGTCGCGATACGGCGCGAAATTACAGATTTCCCATGATAAAACAAAACGAGAGAATGGTTGCCTCAGTATGGTATTTATGCAGACTAGGTTACGTAGCCGACAAGAAACAGGAACGGAATTCCTTCGAGCCGAGAATAGCATAAGGGAGGTGGAGATCGCGTTTCGTTGGTAGTCAGTGCGGCGAGCAGCAATCAGCCAGTAAAGAGCCGAGATAAAATCGGGACGACGGCCAACAAGGCGACAAGCAATTATAGAATTGGATTGGATCGAGAAGTTCGAGGAGGCCTGCGACACCGGTTTCGTTTTATTTTAGCTTAGCTTTCGAAGGCATCCGGTTGTGCATTCTCATCGCGGATCATCGCCACGATTACAGTGAGTGTTGTCCCCCTTTTTAACTTGCAACTTCTCTTTTCTCACCGTGCCGCTTGTTATTAAATGTTGCTTACCGAGTGATGAGTAGCAATAACCGCTTCAGTATTGCGTGAGAGCTGGATCGTTCAGATCAGTTTCTCGTATCGTGCACGTATCGAACGATACTCACTGAAGTAAGTACGACAGCCCTCGTGTAACGCGACTGCGAAATTGCTCAGACAGAGACTTTTACATTTTACTTGCACGTGTGACAGCAAATTCTGGAAGTGCGAAAGTATATTGCAGCGCGTTAAACAAAGTAAACAAACTGAGAGTAGGAATTTTAATTGATTTGTTACACTTGCTGCTTCCTGCTTCCTCGTGACTTGTTCGCGACACGCAAACGTACGTGTTTTTGGATTCAGATTTGAAAATCAGAGTTACGCATTAAATTTTACGACTGTTGCTTCTATTATAGGATTAGTATAACTTTACTTCGTTTTGTATTGCATAGAATCGAATCGAGTTTACTCTGTCGTCTTTTCTATTTAAAAAGAAATTGTTCCATTGCTCTTCTTCGACACATTTTTTCCACAGCGCCGATCTTATGGTAGTGTTAGCCTAAGTTATAGATACTATGTGACTAACAGTCAGACTAACACGTTATAATTTGGATCTGATCAAAACGAATGAAGTATTATTAGTAATATCAAAAACTGATTAAGGGATTGGAATAGAAGGTATCGCTAAAATAGTTTGATTAGTGATAATCAAATTAGATCGACACATAGATAAATTGTATAATATACGATGAATTACGTGCAAATAATTGTTGTCAATGAATTTATTAGGCTCGTAACCGCAGGCAGAGAATAACAGAGGATAAAAGGGGAGAGAAACACAGATTGTTCCCACCATGGAGGCGATTAAGAAGAAAATTGCGGCGCTGAAGCAGGAGATGGACGCCGCTAATGAGAAAGTCGAGGCGAACGATGCAAAGGCAAGATCGGAGAACTTTCGAGCGGATAAGCTGAAGGACGATCTAAGGGATCTGGAGAAGAAGCTGGCTCAGCTCGAACGTGATTACACGGTTACCAAGGCGAATTTGGAGCAATCCACCGCTGACTTGGAACAATGTGAAAAATCCTGGTCTAAGGTGTGTAAAGACACCTAAGTTGATTTGAAGACGAGATAGTTGACATTGTACAACTGATGGATGATGATGACAATGTGCAATTGATTAATAGGCGGAGCAAGATCGAACCACGCTGACCAAGAAGGTGCAGGAAATTGAGGCAACGTTGACGAAAAAGGAGGAACTGCGACTTTCGGCTCAGTTGAAACTGGGACGTGCCACGGAACTCGCTGATGATGCTCAGAGGTTCGTATTGTAATTCAACGGAACGCCATTGATCATATATTGCCTTTCAATTTTACACGACAGATTTTATTCCTACAATTGAAGATATTCGTGTGATAACGTTAGATGACTTAGAGAATGCTTAATTAAATTTAACAAGCGAACAAATACTATTAGGGTAAAATTTCACAATTTTTAGAAACTTTGCTATTATAAGAAAAATCTTACAAATATCACAAATAAGTTTTCTTGAATAATAATTTTGCACTGGTAATGAATGAAAATTTCCTTTTTATCGTAGAATGTGCAAAGTACTGGAAGACAGAAGCCGATTGGACGAAGAACGTATGGGAAAATTGATGCAAGAGTTGAAAGACGCGAGATTAATCGCTGAAGACGCGGACGCCAAGTCCGACGAAATATCGAAGAAACTGCAGTTCGTTGAGGAAGAACTGGAAGGCGCTGAGGAGAGAGTGAAGACCAGCGAGGCGTTTGTATAATTACGTTATTCTTACGTTTCCCTTGCGATTTTCGCCATTCCTTTCTTACACGTTTGCGAAAATATATTTGCAGAAAGATCATAGAGCGGGAGGACGAGCTTTTCATTGTGCAGAACATCGTAAAATCTTTAGAGGTATCTGAGGAGAAGGTTAGTTATTTTCCGCGAAATCAAGTAGTAACGAAATTCAACGAATTCTTTTACGTTGTGTAATGTTCTACGTCAAAGATTAATTCTTGACCTTTCTATTAAAAATTCACTCTCGCGCGTGATTTATCTAGGCTAATCAACGAGTGGAAGAGTTCAAAATACAACTAAAAGAGCTGAAGAAAAAGCTGAGAGAAGCCGAGAAACGCGCCATCCTGGCTGAAAGAACGGTGAAGAAGTTGCTGAAGGATGTCGACATGAAGGAAGGTAGGATGTTTAGTGGGCGAGAACTTAGTTCCTCTTTTTTTCTCGAGGACGATGATCTTCTCAACGATCGCGGTGTTTTAGATGAGTTGAGAGAAGAGAAGGAGAAATACAAAGCGGTCTGCGACGACATGGACGCCACGTTCGCAGAAATGACAGGATATTAAAGCCTCGGAGATGGATGGAGTTCCTTTTATTTTGCTACTCTGAGCTTCTTCCGCTTAATCGCTATATTTAATAATGGACATCGATCGGCTGTGTTCAGCTACGCTGACTTATATAGCGCTAACTTCTTTATATAGTGTGCCGTGTAAAAGAGAACTTTCGATTTCGAAGCTTCTAAAGTAACTCGCTAACTTGCGAAATTCGGCAATTAACATGAAGATTAGAGAGCACACACTGCTAGTTTTTTTTTTTTTTTTTCGCTTAATGTAATATCATTGCTTCAAGCTTGATACTTTGCCAAGGTTTCGCGGAGATGGTTGAACTGATGGTGTTATAGTTGCTTTAGAAAGAAACGGTTTTTTTTTTTTTTGATAGTAACGGCATCACCTATTTTTCTTTCAGAGACGTTGAAGAGGATTCGGTGAATATGAAAGCAAGCACGATACTGCATCCCCTTTTTATCATTGTATGCCAAATCTGTATTTTCAATAAATGATACTTAAAAAAAAGAATACCAGTGATAATAAATAATTAACTCAATACCTTGCTGTAATTCTGTCAGATGAAAACTGTGTGAAAATGAAGAAAAGAAAATCCTTCTTTTATGATTTATAACTGAGAAATAAAAATATATCTTCGATTACATTGCTAATTAGATATTTTCGTATATTAAAAAATGTTTTGAATAGAAAAACGTTTTACTTTCCTATTTTTATATTTTTTTTTTCCTCTTCTGCATCTTTCAATAGTTTCATTTTAGATATTTTCTCTTACGTAGAAATCGTTTCAAGAACGTTACTTTAAAATTTGTTAATGCTCGAATTCGCAGCTTTACGTTAATATGAAGCTATTGGAAGTGCATAAACGTCTAGAGAAGTCGAAGAATTCGTTTGCGTCTAACTAAAGAAACAGGCTATTAGGTTCTTTTGCATTTCTTTGAGTCTATAAAGCATTGTCCTCGTCGGTCACCGAGTGCAGTAACCCGCGAGCTTTCCTTTGAGAGACCGTATAGTCATTTCATCTTCACGAATTTCCCTTTTAATAAATTAATACGTAAGATTATTTTTATCGTAAATATTTTGTTTCAATACAGAAGTGCAAAAGTGTTTTAACTCGAGTAACGATATTTTTTAGAATCGGTGTAATATCGGTGTAACGAAAAAGTGACTTCGATAAATTAACTTTTGACACAAGAAAATTCTCCAATTTTCGATGTTTAACCTTTCTTTCGCAGAATATTCACGTCACATCGAATATTTTCATTTCTCTTAAAAAAAAAAAAAAAAAA